TATCGCCGGTGTCCGGACACTTTGAAGTAACAATATCGCCGGTGTCCGGACACTTTGAAGCAACAATATCGCCGGTGTCCGGACACTTTGAAGCAACAATATCGCCGGTGTCCGGACACTTTGAAGCAACAATATCGCCGGTGTCCGGACACTTTGAAGCAACAATATCGCCGGTGTCCGGACACTTTGAAGCAACAATATCGCCGGTGTCCGGACACTTTGAAGCAACAATATCGCCGGTGTCCGGACACTTTGAAGCAACAATATCGCCGGTGTCCGGACACTTTGAAGCAACAATATCGCCGGTGTCCGGACACTTTGAAGCAACAATATCGCCGGTGTCCGGACACTTTGAAGCAACAATATCGCCGGTGTCCGGACACTTTGAAGCAACAATATCGCCGGTGTTCGGACACTTTGAAGCAACAATATCGCCGGTGTCCGGACACTTTGAAGCAACAATATCGCCGGTCTCCGGACAAACGTATGTGATTGGTCAGTTCTCCAGGTGAGCGGGCAACGTGATTGGATAAACGCTAAGATGGACAATAATACCCCACCCTCTGACTGGCCTAAACACTAGCGACATCTATCGACACATACACGAACCAGAACACAACCCTAAATAATAACGTAAGAACACCATGTTGAATCCCACTCATGGGAGTTCTTACAGAGCTCCCAAGAACCTAAGAAACACATGGTGAATCTGGACGTCTGTTAGGTGAGGACATTGAGTACATCTCCCATTACATCTCCACCTCTTCCCCCTTCCTTCCCATCATCACCTCCCCCCTCTTCCCATCCCACAAATATCTCCCCCCTTCCCTCCCCATCACTGTCTCACCCCTTCGTCTCCGACGTGGAAAATTTGGGTATAAAATTTGCACATAAATGGGTGTATTTTGGTGGGATGAGTTATTATACCCATTTATGGATGAGCTCAACCATTCATTTTTATGAGTTTTTAAATGATGAGGGAATGAAATATTTGCATTTTATGTAATTTTATTTAATTATTGGTAAGCTGCCAGGCCCTGCCAATTATATATATATATATATATATATATATATATATATATATATATATATATATATATATATATATATATATATATATATATATATATATAATTTATTTATGTATAAGCAAATTATATTGATTCACACTGGCGGAGTCCAAATATACTTGAGAATGTATGGCAATTAAATCTATTTTTAAAACCGTTAATATATGCAATGTTTGGTTCAGTATCGCCATGATGACTCCAGAGTCGCGTGTTCGAGCCTATTATATAGACTCAATATTTTCTCACGGATACATCAGGCTGTTGTGGTTTCATCGTGCATCATTAGCGGTAAGGCAATTGTGAGGAGAAAGCGCAAGGCAGTAAGACTGCATAGCACTTAGAACAGACAGGAAGGGATAGGACAGTGGGAAGGAATGACGCCCAATCACTTCGACCGTCGGGGATCGGCATGTCTAGGAGGATTGATTGATTGATTGATGAAGAGTAAGCCACCCAAAAGGTGGCACGGGCATGAATAGCCCGTAAGTGGTGGCCCTTCTGAGCCATTACCAGTATCAAGAGCTGATACTGGAGATCTGTGGAGGCGCGACTGCACCCTGCGTGACGGGAGATGTCTCCCGTGCTCTAGGAGGAAGCTGACGAATGTATGAAGAGAATGCAACAAAAGAAGACAGTAAAGCACAGATGAAAGACAATAAACAGATAAATATGATAAAAATAAAGGAACAGACTATACAATATTGATAAAATTAAAGCTGATGAAAGCTGGGACTAAAAGTGCCACTGGAGAGCATGTTAGAGGACGGGAGTGTGGCACAACGGGTGAACAGAAGCAGAAGGTGTACGAGAATGGAACTCAAACATGTGAACACTGATAAACAAGTGGAGACAAGAACAAAGTTAGAAGTATGTGCAGTCAATAGCACGGGTGAGGGGAAGGGAGGGGTGGAATGTGGGAGATAAGAGGGGGAGGTGGTGGGAAAGGGGAAGAGAAACGGGCGATGTGGGGAGAGGGATGGAATAGAGAGGGTGGGAGGGGAGAGAGACCATTCCGGGCACCCCTGGTCACTCCTCCTAGTAACTGAACAACTGTTGGAATGAATAAGGGGATACCTTCCGGGTAGGAAACAGAGGCTAACGGTCAATTCAATGTCTTTCTTTATTATGCACCCCATACCGGGTAGGAAACAGAGGCTAACGGTCAATTCATGTCTTTCTTTATTATGCACCCCATACCGGGTAGGAAACAGAGGCTAACGGTCAATTCAATGTCTTTCTTTATTATGCACCCCATACCGGGTAGGAAACAGAGGCTAACGGTCAATTCAATGTCTTTCTTTATTATGCACCCCATACCGGGTAGGAAACAGAGGCTAACGGTCAATTCAATGTCTTTCTTTATTATGCACCCCATACCGGGTAGGAAACAGAGGCTAACGGTCAATTCAATGTCTTTCTTTATTATGCAC